AAAGAGTACCTCTTATTTAAGGTAGTTGGTTCATTTTTTGTTCATTTGTTTGAGTACTTTCGGTGAGTAGTTACTTCAGATGATTGAGAGTATTATTTATTGAGCTTTTCGAGGAGTATGTTCCAAGTTGCTATGTGATTTTAGGCATTCGCATATGTTAATATGTTTATTTCAGGACGAAAGTTTGAAAGTGGTGACGTTGAAGGATATACTGGAAAAAGATCCAGCTAAGAAAGCAGTTATAATTAAGAATTTGGAAGAGCTCTTGAAAGATATTGTGCCGAAGTAATGAGTTATTTGTGTGCTCATTTATGTACTCATATTTTCCGTATCTTTCTTTTTTTTAAGCTTTGTTTTAACAACGATGTTGCATCTATGAATATACTGAAAAGCAAATTTCGTTTATAATCGCTTACAGAAGGCAACTGAAATTGAGTTTAACACATCGACTGCTCAACGAGTTCTTCGCGTATTGTAATGACGAGCAAAAAACGGAAATGATCGATTCATTGAAGGAGCGAATACCGGAGGTCAGTTTTGGTCTTTTAGTTTTAGCATTTTTATTTTTTTGACAAAAGAATCTGAGATTTGTTAGACTGTATTTTACGCAGTAGCGTTTTGCTGTTGTTTTACATGGGTTACCTGAATTGGCCAGGCTGTTATCAAACGTTTATAACGTTGCTGGCCACAATGCTTGCAGTGTTTCCGTGCACATTGTTTTAGCCTCAATTTACGGCACCTCGCTGGCTAGGCGAGCAGGCCAACCGAACACAGCCGAGTAATTAATTAGTTGCCGTGAATACTTTGCATAATTAATAGTAGCCAAATATGAATCCAAATCAATCAAATATTAAATTTATTGTTGTATTTTCTGTTTATGTAAATTTGACATTTTATGTGAATCTGTTGTTGTATTTTATGTAAAAGTTTGATTGCCTTATGTAATATTTCACTGTGGGTTTGCAGATTATCCATACCAATGACGGTACACGGATAGCATTGCAGTGTATTTGGGGAGGCACAGCCAAAGAGCGAAAGGTCAGAGCGACATTTACGAGTGTTTCCCTCGGTTTAGTTTGTTCTACAATGAAATCAGTTATCATATTATTGGTTAGAGTAAACTGCGTATACTGAAATTTGCAGATGATTGTGAAGAATTTCAAGTCGTTAGTGGTGAAGACGTGTTTGGAAGAGTTTGGACATCGTGTGCTGATCGGTATTTTTGATGCGGTTGACGATACAGTCTTAGTGAACAAATATATTGTTTCGGTAGGTGTATTTCGCGATTATGAGCAATTTTTTCAAATTTCATTTTAAGAAATTTGCGAATGTTTTGGAGAAGTTTTTGCAAATGTAATGAAGCAAAGTAATAGATTTCAAGAGAATGTTCATTCAAGGAAATAGCCAACGAAGTGGGAACGGTGGCGTTGAATAAGTTTGGTGAGCGTGTGCTGCATTATTTGATCAATCCACGTGACCCACGATATTTCGGTAAAGGATCTATTGATATCTTCAAAGAAGTGAGTGAATGAGATTATTTATTCCATTTTTGTTATTTCGATGATTTTGGAATGTTTTTTAATCGGTTTGAAATGGGATTTCTTTTCTTGCAGTTTTTACGTAATTATCAAAATACGCCATGATCTTCATAATAATAACTGTAATAATAATAAGGTTTTTATAACAACTGTAAATCTGATAATAATAATAATAATAATAATAATAATAATAACCATAAATTTGGGGAAAATTGTGTGCGATCAGAACGCGATGTTGATTGATTTATATTTGTTTGTTGAAGGGTGATAACAACGCACACAGTAAGAAGGATGCAAAGGAGCGATACGCACAGTTGTTTGGGGCAATCGCGAAACCATTGATGACTTATATAAGTGCCAATTTGAATGAACTGTTGTTCGATACGCTCACAGCACTGCTCGTGCTGAATATATTGGAACCATCGGGTAACTGAATTAATGACATTAGCAGAGTTTTTATTTTTTTGAGTAATCTGAAAGATTTGATGAAATTTTTTTGATTTTTGAAACTTTTATTGTCATTATTCAAGCAGTTTAGTGGTCGTTATTCCGAAGTAATTCGATTTTACGGAAGAGATTCATTGAAAAATTGTGGCCATATCCTATCATTTGTACTGATTTTGCGTTTATCTATTTGAAATGGTCCGATGTTTGCTGTGGAAAGTGTATGTGAAATGAATGTTGGGAGTGCTAAATGCCTCTGTAATTGAAAATGAACGTTTTTGTGCATTGATGCAGTACAGAAATTTTGAGATTCAGAAATCAAATTGCGTGCATCTGGTTTAGGTGAAACGGATTTGTTCACGAGGACGATCGATGATGAGGATCGTCGTGAGTGTTACGAAGGTATCGCGAAGCTGTGCGGTGAAGAATTCATACCGTGCGATACAGAGCGATTACATGCCATTGAACATCCGAATGCACACTTCGTCATATCGAAGCTGTTACAAGCTGACTCGAAATTCGACGTGAAATTGAGCGATCACTTAATGGGTTTGGGTGAGGCAACACTCTCGTCGTGGGTAAGTTCTGCAATGCTGATTGCTTTCTTTATTGTACAATCACAATATTTATTCATTCATTCATGAAGTATCACTAAGTTCTGTTAGATCAGTGCTTTCCACGCTCGGGTGCTCCATTACCCTCTTCGATGGTCTGACAGGCCGTCATTATACCCTCACCCCCCCCCCTTGCTACAGTAGTGCTATTTATGTGCATAACGTCAGAACTAATTCCCCCTCTGACACCTAACACCTCTGTTACCCCCTGACACCTCTAAATTATCCAAAAAGAGGTAGTTTCCTCTGAAATGGGAACAATTGTACTAGATAGATGGTTAATTTTAGAATGGAAGCACTTTTCACTGACTTTTGAGAACATTTCGATGAGCACAATCTGTTTGAAGCAATCTTATGAATTTAAATGATATGAACAATTTTATGTTGGTATTTCACCTAATTATTTGCAGATTGGGAGAGTTTTTTGAGTATTCTCTGGGAAATAAAAAACTATCGAAAAATTTTCATTCTTTAGTCCATAACTGATTTCATTTTCAGGTTTCTTGTAATCGTGGTTGTTTCATATTGTTGCACATGTTCGAGAACGGCTCTGAGGAAGCGAAGAGCATGTTGCAGAAGTGTATTCCATTGGCAACGTTGAAGAATTATTCGACGAAAGGGGCGCAAGCACTCTTGAAAAAGCTCTCGCCCAAGTAGTTTCACGTGTGAATTGTTTGCTCTCAGTTGGCCGAATTCGATCGTATTCGGCGGTCTGTCTGAGAATCAGCTTATTGAACAGTTTTGTTGATATTTGATTATGATGTTGTTAACTGCAGATGTATAATATTTAATCAGCGATGTATGAAGTATGTGTTTGAGCACAGCATGAATTGATTTCATTCGTTTCAATTTTTGTTGCTGTAATAATCTCGTGAATGTTCATTATTTGAAGGTAATTCTCCACTTATTTTATGTCTTGATTGATTGATTGCTCAACAGGGTTGATCTAGCAAGATTATAAGAAAAGAACTGATGACTGGAATGAGTCTCGTTCGGTGAGATAATTCGATTTCAATTTCCTATATTCAGTTGGGATTATTTGAATCCATTAGGTTTTGAGTGAAACTTTGGCGATATTTCGAGTGAAATTTAACATTCGTTGTGTGTACATCGTTTGCATTTGGTAGTTTTGAGTGTGTACCAAATCGATGTGATTGATCAGATATTACGTACAAACTGATATTGATACTGTTTCGTGTTTTTTGCTGAGAGCCTGATCTGAGGAGGATATTTTATTCATTAGTTTAGTTGGGAGAAAGAATCAGCTAGCGATTGGGGAGGGCTTTGTGTGGATTCAGAGGATTCAGACGGCTCTTATTTGATGCAGAGTCAGATTCGTACAGTTATCCATTCAAAGAGGGGGTTATTGATGAGAGTTTATGAATAAGTGTTGCAATTGGCAGTAAATCATTGACTGATGAGAAGGGAAATTATCTCATTTTCACTTGTTCCGAGTAGAAACAACCGCGTAACTTTGTTGATTTCATTAAAAGAATTGTTTCGAAAGGATTTTGTTGTAATTGTTGTTATCATTAGAATATTTGTTGTTGTTGTTTGGTGTTGTGAAGAAATTTTACGAATGTTTTTTGTTATTCATATTCATACTGAGATGATTATATTGAAAAGAATATGTGGTTGATAATAAACTGATTGCCCGATTGTTTTCATTCATCTTCATATAATCAATTCGAATAGTTAAGTTGTTATGACTGTTTACCTAACTGTGTGGCTTGGCCAGATGTTAAAATTTTTGTATTTGTAACATCTTAGTGGTACCATTGGTACCTAGTAAATTCACCGTGAAATGAAGTGGAAACGCTGAAAGAGAGGGTGTCCGTAATTGTTGTTTGGTCTATAATTACACTAAAAAATGTAATAGTGGCATGGTTCATGCATATAAGCAATCAATTGAGAAGATCGTATGACTTTATTTATTGCTTTGTGATACTTTTTTGAACACATTTAGTAATTTAAGATCCAAGTATACGGCATAAAAATGAACATCCTTTCGATGAAGTATATTCATTCAATCCAATAGCGAAGAATTTCCTTATTTGGTGGAAGTCGAGATTCATGGGGTTGTTGGGCATAATTCAGCACTCGACTATACTGAATGAATCTATCGATTCTGCAGAGAGCGATCCAAAAAAAAGATCTCAAACCAGAGTACTTAGCTTAAATGCCATTTATTTTCAGTTGAGCTTCTGAGTGTCAAGAAGCATAGACTTCTGACTGTCAAGTTGAAAATATCAAAACTGTTTTGCTGACCTGTATTTCTAAGCATTGAAGCGTCTTCCTAGGCATCCTCATATTTTAGGTTCTTTTTCTATTGAATAGATCGAACAGATTCATGGAAGTGTACGAAATTGAGCATCAGAATCGTTTGAGAACGATGTCTCAATGATTTTCTATAATGCAGTGTTGACTGATCAGTGGCTGATATATGTCGCGAACTCCGCGAACTGAAACCCGTTACCCAAACTCATATTAGGACTAATTTAAATAAAATATAGTTGTCTGGATTACCTGGATTGTCATCAAACGTTTGTAAAGTTGCTGGCCACAATGCTCGCAATGTTTCCGTGCGCATTGTTTTAGCATCAATTTACGTCACCCCGCTGGCTTGGCGAGCAGGCCAACCGAACACAACCGAGTAATTAATTAGTTGCTGTGAATACTTTGCATAAATAATCGTAGCCAAATACCAATCCAATAAATAATCACAACTCTAATAAAATAAATATTCCGCCGATCGCTCACAGCGATTGACAAAACAATCATCGATGTCCAAGTAACAATATTTTAGTATATGTTCATTCCAATGAACATATACTAAAATATAGTATTGTCTGCAAAATATAATCAAATATAAATTATCATCTGCAAACCTCAAAACAAATCATTTAATGTAGAATAGGGCAATGATCAAATATCCAAACCGCTATTCAGCAGACTAATAATCCTCCAATTCACATACACAATACGTTATATGCTGATTTACTATACCCTGTTATCAACCACTCAACTCCATACTTACAAACGGTAAATTCATCATACTATTGTTATAAACCACTATAACAAGCGATATCATAACCAAGCCCGTAGAAAATCCTGTACATCATAATGACTTTCTATTGGAAAACACGTCTCTGAGCGCGTGAGAGCATAAAAAGAAGATCCGGCTCAAGCCAGGATCATTCATTGATTCTACTTAATTCTTCGATCAAGGATGCAACTCGGACGTCCGGATCAACAACGATCGTAAACGCCGTTCTTCAAAGTAGCTCACTCGATGCTGGTGAAGGCCTTACACTCGACACGGAAAAGGACGGTTAGCCACCCGCGATTTCGGTGGACCTCCTCATCAATTCATCAATCGTCATTCAGTTTCATCACCTCATCAATTTGTTATTGTGAAGGTCGACTGTAGCCCCAGCAGGAGGAAGGACAAGAAGCCCACAACCGGGGCCATCGAAAAGACGACAGTCCCCCCCCCCCCCCCCCCCCCCCCCCCNCCCCCTTCATCCCCCTCCACCCTCTCCCCATCCCCCTATTGTGTGTGTGATTCAACTCGTCGTATTGCCAGCAAAGTTTACTTTCTAACGTCCTCGTATCTACCTCGCAGTACATCAAACCGGGACAATTCGGTATCAACGTCTTCACGCCATCTGGAGGCTCAGCCGGTCATACCGAATCTTTGGCGCAGAGGAGTGGCACAAACTATTAAAAGCGAGAACAGCATCCGACGAAGACGTCCAAATGTATCAACACATCGTCGAGAATCCGTCAGGTTTTTACCATGCCTTATTGAGAGCCAAAGATGTCATGGATGAAATCCAAGCTGGAAATTGGCCTGGATTTCGTCCATGGCGTCTCTGGCTCTCAACAAGGTATGATAAAAACCTGATGGATTCTCGACGGCATGTTGATAGTGCCCCAACACTATTCAAACCCCGCCACCACCCGTTGCACCGTCCAATTACCCATGGGTACATTTACCCAAACTACAGTTGCCCGTATTCAATGGCGATCCCATAACATGGCGATCTCCGTTTTGGATCGCCTTCACCCATTGGCCATTCTCGCTTGTAGCAATCTACGTCGTGTGGTGATTTTTTCATTGTAATAAAATTATTGTAAATGTTTCTTGCCTCAACTTCACAGCAGTAACAACCGGGACAAAACAGTCTTCATGACAATATACCTAGTAAACATAGTTGCTCCTGTACAAACTGGAGGACAGCGATAGTTTGAAGGCGGTGAGCATGATACTGCTAAAGTAATGTACGATTGATCAGTAGAGATATAGTGTATTGAAATGAGCACTGCCCAGCAAATGCAGTACCTTCAGGAAATCAGCTATTTCTCCAAATGTAAGCAAAATCGCCCGACAATATAAATACTTTTCAGAAACTAGAGAATCTGGAAAATCTCTTGCTGAGAAAAAAAATCACTATCCTTCAATCGACCCAATCTACAGTCATCATCGCAACAATTCGTAATATGTCAGAATTACGCAAGACCCCCAACGTCAATTACTGGATCCTGATATGCTGCAACATTTTGAGAGCGAAAAGGTATCAATCCTCCACATTTTCTGAGCGGCTCCAACTCAACCTCAAATCAACACTATGGTTTAGGCTTCCCCATAGCCCTAGGCTCAAGTTCTGGACCGTCACCTATCTACTGATATTCTACGACGTTTCAATCCTTCAAAGTTACTAGAGTGCTGATTGACAATGGGTTTTGAGTTGTTTTTTTCATCTGCAAACGAAGACAGATGTATACTGAGGGGAATAAATTTATCAACTCCACTTTATCAGATTAAAATTTGCCTGCATATCACTGGACACCGGGCAAACGAAACGAAACGAATAGAAACTGTAATGAATATTTATTAAAAGAACATTAAAACAACAACACATCTAATTTACTGAATATTTGATTATTAGACAATCAAACGTGCGAAGTTAGAAAGTACATTGTTGATAACACTGACTCAACAAGACTGATGCCTTTCTTGTGTATGTATGTTGAATATAGAATCCGAAGAAAACTGTCACTTAGAATGGCTAGGATTAAGACCAACAACACAATAAGTATGCAAATCAGTTACTGACAATAAGTGGGCAAACAATACCTTTTTTACGAAAATTACTCACAATCAGAAATTTCATCCTACTAAACTAATAACACGGCAAAGTATTATTAATCCATGTAAACCACAAATAAATATCAAGCTCTCTGCACAAATTCTATCCTTTAATAATTACTCAATCATCTTATCCAACGAAAACCATTTTGTTGTCTGATATATTTTCGATGAACTCAACAACGGAATAATGAAAATGACAATAAAACCGCAGTAAACTTGAAGAAACATTCATAAAATTGAGTTATCAGAACTTAAAAGCGTCTAAAACAGTGATCTTCTTCATCTTGATGCATTATTCGGTATTGACAGTACTTAACATCTAGTGCTTGCTGATGTGAGAGATCAGGTCTACTACACGGCAACTGTAACCGAACTCGTTGTCGTACCATGAGATCAGCTTGACGAAGTTCGGGTTGAGCGAGATGCATGCTCCTGCGTCAAAGATTGACGAGTGTGAGTCACCTGTGAAGTCAGTTGAAACTACCTGAAATCATGTCCACAATATATGTCCAGATTCGTCTCAAAATTTCAAACACCACCGCGTTGATCCAACGCGTAAACTTATTGGAAAGAAATCACAATAAGTTGATCGATCACATTCTCACCTGTTCCTCAGTGTATCCCAAAATGCCCTTCATTTTTCCGTTGGCTGCTTCCTTGATTGCTGCCTTGATCTCATCCATCGATGCACCCTTCTCAAGACGGCACGTCAAGTCAACAACTGAAACGTCCGGAGTTGGAACACGGAATGCCATTCCGGTCAACTTGCCATTCAGTTGTGGAATAACCTACAATGTGATCCATCATCAAATCTGAACTATTCAACTGATGTCAACCCTCAAACCAACTGGAAATTTTGATGCGTTCTAGAATAAACACATCTGAATGTTTTCGAGTATATTTTCGATTTCGGAGCAACGAGAACTGAAATACTCCAACGAGACTCTTAATCAGATTCAACCTGCAGAATCTTGAGGAGATATACGACGAAGACATAAAAACGTTTTTGGAATTGCTATCCAATTGTTTCGGTAAAATTTGGGTTTGAGTGGAACGATTCAGCTATATTAACCTTGCCAACAGCTTTGGCTGCGCCAGTGCTGGCTGGGATGATATTCTGTCCTGCACCACGTCCATCACGCCACTGCTTGCCAGATGGGCCATCGACGGTCTTCTGGGTGGCGGTTGTGGCATGGACGGTGGTCATGAGACCCTCAACGATACCGAATTTGTCGTTGATCACCTAAAATGATGATTGCTAAATGTATCGCCTCGTATTCAAAAACTCAAACAACAACTGAATCTGACACATGTTTTGTTTTGGAACTGCTTTCGAGCCTTAACAATTGGGACTCGGCAAATGAACCATATATTCTGGAATGTTGCACGATCGTTTGCACAAGAATGGCAGAAATTTTACAGATTCTTTAAGTAGTCAATCGATAGCAGAGTCTATTCTATGGAGAGTTGATCATTCTCTCACTTTCATTATCTGAGTAGCCGCAGAAGTTCTCTTATCCACTTAACTGTCTCAAATTAATACCGATACTAGAATCTGTATCAGACCCTTCGACCTAATTCTACCTTATGGTTTAACCTGAATCTGCTATAACTTTACTGGATAAACCAATCATTTCCCATTGGGCTGGCTGAATCTCTGAAGGGTTCTTCACCTTAGCAAGAGGTGCCAAGCAGTTGGTGGTGCATGATGCGTTTGAGATGACGTGGTTGTTGGCAGCGTCGTACTTATCCTCATTGACTCCCATCACGAACATTGGTGCATCTGCAGACGGTGCTGAGATGACCACCTTCTTGGCGCCACCTTTCAAGTGAGCGCTCGCCTTCTCGATCGTCGTGAACACACCAGTGGACTCAACGATAATCTCAGCGCCATCTGCTCCCCACTTGATCTCGGCGGGGTCCTTCCTGAAAATCCACTCTCATCTTTCTATGTATAGATACGTTATTTGAAGCATAGCGTGATGATTTGACTGATTCAATTTGCTCATCTTCAGCTTCATAATAAAATACTTCGATGACTGCAATGAAGCTTAAGTTTGGGTAGAAGTTAAAGCCAACAAAATGCTTAAGCTTCACTCTTTATCATTAGATGAAGACTAAAAAATTCAGTTCACTTTGGACCTCATGAAAGACGAACAAACAAATTCAAAAATAAAAGAAGAAACTCACGAGTTGTGTACGGTAATATGGTGAGCGGTTTTTCCAGGTGCGGAAACAACCAACTTGCCTCCCTCAGCATGAACGTCTCCCTTGAAGCGACCATGGGTTGAGTCATATTTGAACATATAGACCTGAATTTAATATTAGATTATACTCGACACACAAAACGTGGCATGCATTGAGTACTTGAACAAAAGCGAATCAGAACGTTCAGATCGTTTTACTTTTGTCATAAAAGCAATCCAGACGGAATCTGACAACTTTGGCTGCTCATTTCAGTTCTTTTCTATCACTTGTCATAATTCAAACTTCCCATAAGACTCATACAACACACTGATGTGTTGCTCAGAAGGGGCATTTTTGGAATCCTGTCATTCTTACTGTCCCCAACATTTTTCAAGCAGGGGTCCTCGACCGTACCTTCGAGTTGGATTCCAATCTACTGCTCAAACATTTCAAAGAGGTGGAAATATTTGGTCTCCCGAGCCAAGCAAATAGCCCTGATACTGGCTATCCCGCAGGATTTTGGTAGTGTTTTCAGAGCAATGCTCAACGTTTCGATTGAATCAAAAATGCTCCTAAGCGATCTGCAAACCAACCATATAGTCGATGTTGATGAAGGGGTCATTGACTGCTACCACTTCAACGGTGTCCTTCTCGATTGCTGCACGCAACACAAGACGTCCGATACGTCCGAATCTGCAACAACAACAACTTGCATTCAGACTCTTTTACATCATCAAAGTGTTCACAATCAAATTACCATTGAGAAATTGAGCAAAATTTTGCATTGTAACAATTCAATTTGTAAAATTTCGTCAAAAAATCAAATCATTTAAACTGGAAGAACGAAAAGAATTTGAAAAATGTTCTCAAATATACAAATATACACATTTGTTACAAATTATTCAAAACGGTGATTGATTTAGAAAAAGAATTTGCGTTGGCTACCGAACGATAAGACTTCTGCCTAGTATTCGAGTAACAGTTTTGTTTGATGCTTTGAGAAGGTGCAGCGGCGGAATGATATGAATGTAAGCACTCACCCGTTAATTCCAACCTTTGGCTTCGACATTGTGCTGTAGAGAAAGCGTCCCACGGAGCGGTGAAACAATTGACCGGCTGTGAAAAGCATCTTTCAGTTATATGCACTCTTTCAAACGCAACACGCAACCACTAAACTCATCATAGACGAGCCACAAAAAACCAGTCGACAGCATAGCGTAGCATTTCGTAGAACAAGTTTATTTACTCATAAGAATGCAGACAATATTACACAAAAAAGTGAAACTAAAAATATACTGAATTGAAATGGAAGGAAAAGTTTCAAGTGAAGATTGGAGAGGAATAGGTCAACAGCTGTCTTAGCTGACAGTAAGAGGGTTTTAAGAAATCTCTTCAATTCGGAAGATTTAAGAGATAACTGGAAAATGAGGTAGTTGTTCATAAATGATTTGTGAGAATCCCATTGGAATTCGTTACGTGGATAAATTCTACCGACTCAAATCTACCGATCCTACAGACACTCAAAAACCGGTCTTGTGAAACTTTTATCATCGACGAATACAAGCAAAATACAGCACTTTTTGTTAGATTGAGAAGGATTACTGCAGGTACCCATCAGCCTAAGTGCTAGTCCACCTCCCTGCGTAAAGTATGACTCCCCTATAACGTGAGTAGGACTGCGGGACTGTCAGGAGTACTCGAAACTTTTAATTGTTCACCTGATCTATAGTGACCTTTTGAAAGAATAACTGCCTCTTAAGAATGTGGAAATCGGGAAAGAATTACAAGTGGTGTTATTGTGGAACGACTGGTTATATATAGTACAGAACATTTCTATAATGGAACGTTCGCTAGCCGTTGAGGAATAAAGGGACACACCGAAGCAGCACAACTAATTCAGATGCAATGGAAGGCATTATAACTCGCCGACCACCCGACGGTCTATCGCACAGAACAAGTGAGAGGGAACCGATTGCTGACGAAGTGCCGTGCTCGAATAACGCTACGTGCCCAATATGAGAACTCGATTCAAGCACGCACGATAGGAGGAGATTCTACTGCTGCTGTATCTGTCGGTGCAGAAGTGAATTACTTTGAATCACTCGCACACTCTCTGAATCTCACTTGAATCTCACTAATATTTCATAACACCATTACTTTCCTAGTTCTATTTTACTACTTGACTAGTGACTGCACTAGCGGATCTGATAATACAAGTACCATAGCAATGATACTTCTAACTGTGAGCAGGCGTGTGGTACTTCCTCTCACTGAACTGCACACTGCACACATTCTTTTCAATTTGCAATCTAAACACCCTCTTGCCTCTTTAAAATGAACATTATTTTTGCCTATCAATAATTCTAGTCAAGCTGCTGTGTTGCTATCGGAAAGCCAACACTCTACTCTGACTACGTAAAAAATTGCTCGTTCGTGGCAAACGCATCGAATCGATACATACATCTCCTAACAATAAATGAAAAACTGATAGTAAAGCGCTCAACTAATGCCAGCTGGAAGCTAGCTCAACCACATCTACGGCATTCAATATCTTATGCAAATTAAGCTGGAAAGCAAGAGCAACGAGATGCACGAGTATTCCATCTATAAACTCAGACCTTCTGACATACAACTTCTACCGCTATCCGGCTATTGCTGGCTCAACTCTTCAACAGATATAACAATCATGGCTATAGAAGGATTGGACTGAAAAGTATGAAACGAATTGAAGGCAGTGGAAACCTTATCAAAATGCTAAAGAATGCATGAGAAGTATAGTCGAATGCGGAGTGAACACAACAATCAAGTGCATCACTAGCTAGCCTACGAACAGAAGTAACATAGGAATAACTCGCCGGCTGCTCCTATCAGGCCTTGCTGCCCAATGCGTATGAATGTTTGGAGCAAACGGTGATGTGAATGTGATTCTACGACGCCTATATATTTGATATTTAAGAGAGAAGGAACGTTGTCAGCCGTTTGTGACTCCTCCTTTATTTCTGCTGTAATTTCGTTGGTTTTTCACAATGTTGTTGATGGCTGGTTGTTTTGCGATGATGGAAAGAAAAGTGGCGAATGAAAACACACAAGAAGAGAATATTATGGTTGAAGGTAACATGAGATGATTTGAAGTCAAGTTGACAGAGTAGAAGAGAGAGCAAATGTGAGAAGCAATGATGAGTGCTGAAACAACTAAACAAACTCATTGAATTGTTGTAAGAGAAGTAAATGAGAAGCTGCTGCTTGCCTGTTGCCTGCAAGGACGGACATTATGCAGTGCTTGTAGTTCTGTAAACGGATCAATGCGATGTTAAGCATTCATATCAATTATCACATACTGTCATAGAATCGCATGTTCTTTCCAGTCCTCTGGTTAATTTGTATTATCAGCAAAAAAACTGTCCCAAACTGTATGCAAATATTTGAGACAGAGAGCAAAAGGCAGAAGGCGAAGGCAACAGAAAACACGTAAATGTATTGAAGAATCAGTGAGACGTTCAAAATGGATGAGGAAGTTTCAAGGGAATTTTTAGAAATATCACACCCAGAGAGATAAGATCGAGAGAGATGAATGCTGAGAACATGAACATGAAAATGCTGACAGCAAGTCAAACATGCAGGAAAATTTTAATTGATTGAAAAAATCAAGTGATGTAAAGCATAGCGCGAGTAAACGAGTACCATACACATCACTTGTGATCGATTCCACCCACACTGTACTGAGTCGATCAATTCTATACATGTTTGCAGTGGCTGTGTACTTTACAGTTTGCATTTTAGAGTTTTTAATTATAACTCAATTATCACTTCAGTTGCCATTTTCAAGCATGTGAGTACAAGTTATACGATGAAGATGTTAAATTTTGAGGATTTTTTACTTGCATGGCACCAAAAATTGAGCAGTGGAACGTTGAAATGTTAAGTGCTTATGGTGTATTAGTTCGTCACTTTATTTGTTTGTTTGTTTTAATCTGCTGATAGAAATACCATTGAGTGGAGAGATTGTGTACGTTTCACATACGTATAGAAGTTAAAGCTGAACACTAGCAGTAAGCTGAACACAGCTATAAAACACACTTCGGTTCATAAACCTCTCAAAAACAATTTTATTTGTTTCGAAAGATGAGTGTATCGTTGGTTAACTTGTTGTGTGGAAACGTTAAGAAATGTAAAAGTAATTTTAACGAGTAAAGTTGAGAGGAGAGCGTATTGGAATAGAAAGTTCAAGTCAGTTAGAAAAATTCAAAAGATAAGTACACGCACACACACAAACGTATACTTTGAACATTCACTCAAAAATTTGGTTATGTATTTAGAATGTGAAATACATTTTGAAGCGAATATTATATTGCCGATAGCAATTGCTATTTTGTGATATAGATGATAAGTGGATGGAATGAAGTGGATGGCAGTTGAAATCCGAGAATTGATTGCTGAATGAATGCTTTACACACTCAATGATGATGAGTTTTTCGATTGGGCACTAAGAAATATCAGTTCACCTAATGAGAAATCGTGTAATAGTTGAAAAATTGCTATAGTAATGATTTGTTGAGCTCAGATTGGACGTGCAATTTCGGATGTATCGTGACTGATTACAGATTGATCTCGTGAGCTTAGATATGATCCAATGTTGTCGTTACGATGCTCAAGCAATGCTCTAAGCTCTTAACATCTGTTTTGAAAGGAAAAAAGTTTTGAAAGAAAATCAATCATAGAATTTTTTGCGAAACTTGGTTGTAAACTTCATGTTTGTGTAAATTTCAGTAAAACTCTCACCAAATCGCACAAAATTCCGACGAATTTTGGGCGATTTTCAGTAAACTCAAAATCGTTTTCCTCATTGCTAATGCATTTAACATCATCTCACATGAAGTTTGAGGAATTCATTGGTGCATTCCGATTAATTCAACACATTCACTGTTTCCTTTTCTGCTTGCTTGCTTCATCAAGCTCAGAGCATTGCTATTCGTGATGAGAACATTGGATCATTTGTGAAATTGAGAGGAAAACAGATGATGAAGCAATCAAACAGTAAAAGGAAATTTTGAATGTGTTGAATTAATCAGAATGCACCATTGAATTCCTGACATTTCATGTGAGATGATGACAAATGCGTTAGCAACGAAAAAAACTGAAATCTCTCTGCTTGATTTCTTGAACAATATCCTGAAAATCGGAGGACGATGCAAAAATTCATCCGAATCTCCAGAAATTCGTTCCAATTTATTCTTCGCGTTTATTTCGTGTCAAGTCGTTCGTATTATTATTTAGTAAGTAAAAGTAGTGAGTTCTCATCATATGAGAGTTGTCCGAAATCTCTCATGTTATCAAAGATAATTGAGAAAATTTCGATCAATACATAGCAAGAAAGGAAATTGAGAGGAAAGCACTTTGTGTTGAGTGTCTGAGTAGATTCAGTGCCAGCGGATTTAAGATGGATGAAGTAAATCACTAAGATGATAAGCCAGTAGATGTGGTGTGCATCATTCATAACTGGATCATTTCATCAACTTTATCATGAAATTCTAAAGTTATCATGCAATCCGATTTGTCTCTGGCAAGGCTCAGGGCTCCTTCACCATCATTTGTACCAAGTTCCCTTTATTCACGATGATTAATCTAATCTTTATAGGATGGCATGAAATTATTAGCCAGAATACGGATAACGCATGCTTGAGGGCATGAAAACTGGCGATAGGCATAGGAATTTCGCTTCTTTAAGTCAATTTTCGTCTTTTACTTTTCAGTTACCGGCATAAAAAGGAATCATCTCATCGTTCAGGGATTATTGATGGGCTGTCACTAGGCTATATTCGACGACATCTTGTGAATATACGGATATATGTGGATTACGTTAACGCTTATCTACACCATAAAAGCATCATTTGTAGATCTCTCTGCGTATATGTTCTCAGATGTTTCGAAATCGAAGTTCCAACGAATGACGTATGTAAAGCCTTAGTGATGCAGCTCTCGCAGATGTTTCGAAATCAACTGAAATGTGCATTCGTTCTGAATGATGAGCAAAATGCTGACGAAATTCAGTAAGTGCAAACGACACACAATCAGACGTGTTCAGTTGCGAAATTTTTATTCGGACAAACGTTTCAATGAAGATGATTCATA